CCCCTGCTCAGGTGGCCCTCTCCCCTGTACTCAGGTGGCCCTCTCCCCTGCACTCAGGTGACCCTCTCCCCTGCTCAGGTGGCCCTCTCCCCTGTACTCAGGTGGCCCTCTCCCCTGCACTCAGGTGACCCTCTCCCCTGCTCAGGTGGCCCTCTCCCCTGTACTCAGGTGGCCCTCTCCCCTGCACTCAGGTGACCCTCTCCCCTGCTCAGGTGGCCCTCTCCCCTGTACTCAGGTGGCCCTCTCCCCTGCACTCAGGTGACCCTCTCCCCTGCTCAGGTGGCCCTCTCCCCTGTACTCAGGTGGCCCTCTCCCCTGCACTCAGGTGACCCTCTCCCCTGCTCAGGTGGCCCTCTCCCCTGTACTCAGGTGGCCCTCTCCCCTGCACTCAGGTGACCCTCTCCCCTGCTCTCAGGTGGCCCTCTCCCCTGTACTCAGGTGGTCCTCTCCCCTGCTCAGGTGGCCCCCTCCCCTGCACTCAGGTGGCCCCCTCCCCTGCTCAGGTGGCCCTCTCCCCTGCACTCAGGTTTGTTATCACCCCACCTCCATGCCATCCTGTCCAAAGTCTGTCACCTCACACGACCCCATCCCATGCAGAGTCTCTCTCCACCTGCTCGCCCTGCACCTTCCTGGTTTGCAAATGCCATCGCTGCTCTTCCTGCTCCTCAGGCTCAGGCGTGGTGGCATCCTGACTCTCCCCGCCCGGCCCACAGCCCACCAGCCAATGCCGGGCTCTCCCCTCCAGATCCAGCCAATATTTGGCCATTTATTTCTTTTCTTTTCTTTTTAAAATATGGAATGCTTCACGAATTTGCATGTCATCCTTGCGCAGGGGGCCATGCTAATCTTCTCTGTATCGTTCCAGTTTTAGTGTATGTGCTGCGAAACGAGAACCATTTGGCCATTTCTGAGCAATTCGGCTCCCACGCTCTGGGTCGGGTCTCTGTCACCTCTTGCATAGGTAGTCACGGCCACGCCTACTGGGTCTTCCTCGGGCCTGTTTCCCAGGCAGCAGGAAGGATGGCATTTCCCAAACTGCTCTCAAATAGGTCGCCTTCTGCCCAAGGCCTGCAGTGGCCTCACTTCACAGCACCACCCCGTCTGCACGAGTCTCCACGCCAGCCTCCCCTCTTCCCCATCGCTCTGCCTGGCTCCTGCCTCCCAGCACCAGGCTTCCAGGCTTCCGGCCCTCCTGCTGCCTCTCCCCCTTCCTCCCCCCTCTGGTCTGCAGGGCTCACTTCCCTCTCCCCACTCCAGTCTGCAGGGCTAACGCCCATTCCTTCCTCCCCCTCTCCAGTCTGCAGGGCCCCCTGCCCCACCTCTCTAGTCAACACTGCATCAGGACCAGCTCCATCCTCCTTCTTCTGAACCTGCTTCCTTTGTTCATGGCACTATGCCCTTCACACGTTGCATGTTTATTTTTCATTTTCCTTCTTTGGAGTTTAAGCTCTGCATGTGGTGGTATTTGCTGTAAAATACTGTATTATCAGTGGCTGAAACAGTCCCAGGAGGTACAAAACAGAGCAGGAACTTCATAAATAACTGTGAATGAATTAAGAAGGTGGATCCCACACAGAACCAATTGTTAGGAGAAAAAACTCAAATCCAGTGTACTTTTAAGAAGAGGGTGCTAGGTTCTGGTCAAGATGGCGGCATAGGTAAACTCAGTACTCGCATCTTCCCACACCACACAAAAATTCCAACTAAAATACAGAACAATCATCATTCGGAACCTGCGATCTAACTGAACGGAAGTTCTGCAACTGGGGAATTAAAGAAGCAGCACTGAGACTGGTAGGAGACTATAGGAGGGGTAGAGATGTGGGGGGA